TCTCGTTGCAAAATTTAGGCTTAAATTGAAAAAAGTAGGGAAAAGCACTAGGCCACTCAGGTATGAACTAAATCATATTCCTGATGAATATACAGTAGAGGTGACAAATAGATTTAAGGAACTGGATCTGATAGACAGAGTGCCTGAAGAACTATGGATGGAAGTTCGCAACATTGTACAAGAGGTAGCAACTAAAACCATCCCAAAGAAAAAGAAATGCAAGAAAGCAAAATGGCTGTCTGAGGAAGCTTTGCAAATAGCTGAGGAAAGAAGGGAAGCGAAAGGCAAAGGAGAAAGAGAAAGATACACCCAATTGAATGCAGAATTCCAGAGAGTAGCTAGAAGAGATAAGAATGCCTTCTTAAATGAACAGTGCAAAGAAATAGAAGAAAACAACAGAATAGGGAGGACCAGAGATCTCTTCAAGAAAATTGGAGATATGAAGGGAACGTTTCATGCAAAGATGGGCATGATAAAGGACCAAAATGGCAGAGACCTAACAGAGGCAGAAGAGATTAAGAAGAGATGGCAAAACTACACAGAAGAACTATACAAGAATGAGCTTAACATCCCAGATAACCACAATGAGATGGTCACTGACCTCGAACCAGACATCCTAGAATGTGAAGTGAAATGGGCCTTAGAAAATCTGAGCAACAACAAAGCTAGTGGAGGTGACAGTATTCCAGCTGAGCTATTCAAAATCTTAAAAGACGATGCAGTAAAAGTGCTACACTCAATTTGCCAGCAAATTTGGAAAACTCAACAGTGGCCACAGGATTGGAAAAGGTCAGTTTACATTCCAATTCCAAAGAAAGGCAATGCCAAAGAATGTTCAAACTATCGCACCATTGCACTCATTTCACATGCTAGTAAAGTTATGCTTAAAATCCTACAAGCTAGACTCCAGCAGTATGTGGATCGAGAACTACCAGAAGTACAGGCAGGATTTCGAAGAGGCAGAGGAACTAGAGATCAAATTGCCAACATACGCTGGATCATGGAGAAAGCTAGGGAGTTCCAGAAAAACATCTACTTCTGCTTCATTGACTATGCAAAAGCCTTTGATTGTGTGGATCACAACAAATTGTGGCAAGTCCTTAAAGAGATGGGAGTACCAGACCATCTCATTTGTCTCTTGAGAAACCTATATGTGGGTCAAGAAGCAACAGTGAGAACCGAACACGGAACCACTGATTGGTTCAAAATTGGAAAAGGAGTCCGGCAAGGCTGTATACTGTCGCCCTGCCTATTTAACTTATATGCAGAGCACATCATGAGAAAGGCAGGGCTAGATGAATCAAAAGTTGGAATTAAGATTGCCGGGAGAAATATCAACAACCTAAGATATGCAGATGATACCACTCTAATGGCAGAAAGTGAAGAGGAACTAAAGAGCCTCTTGATGCGGGTGAAGAAGGAGAGTGCAAAAGTTGGCTTGAAACTCAACATTAAGAAAACCAAAATCATGGCATCCGGCCCTCTCAATTCCTGGCAAATAGATGGGGAAGAAATGGAGGTAGTGACAGATTTTATTTTTCTGGGCTCCAAGATCACCTCAGATGGGGACTGCAGCCAAGAAATTAAAAGACGCTTGCTCCTGGGGAGGAAAGCTATGGCAAATCTAGACAGCATACTAAAAAGCAGAGACATCACCCTGCCAACAAAAGTGCGTATAGTCCAGGCCATGGTTTTCCCAGTTGCAATGTATGGCTGTGAAAGTTGGACCATAAGAAAGGCTGAGCGCAAAAGAATTGAGGCCTTTGAACTATGGTGCTGGAGAAGACTCCTGCGAGTCCCTTGGACTGCAAGGCGTTCAAACCGGTCAGTCCTAGAAGAGATCAACCCCGACTGCTCTTTAGAAGGCCAGATCCTGAAGTTGAAACTCAAGTACTTTGGCCACCTAATGAGAAGGAAGGATTCACTGGAGAAGAGCCTAATGCTGGGAAAGATTGAGGGCAATAGAAGAAGGGGACGACAGAGAATGAGATGGCTGGATGGAGTCACTGAAGCAGTAGGTGTGAATTTAAATGGACTCCAGAAGATGGTAGAGGACAGGAAGACCTGGAGGAACGTTGTCCATGGGGTCGTGATGGGTCGGACACGACTTCGCAATTAACAACAACAATATATTGAAATGCAGCCATATATATTGAAATATAAAGAAGACTTTAGGGCTAACCCCAAGATGTTAAGCTAAAGGATCTCCTATATTGGGACTGAGAAGGAACACTGTCTAAAGAGCAGGGAAAAGTTGATCAAGAGAAAGAATGATTAGTGGCTTAATTCAATATAAACACTGTATTTTTATATACAGGCATTGAACATTCATTATATAGCAACCTCACCAGGATCTCCATGTGTACAGAGTAACTACAGTGTGTACTGTATAGGGAATGGTAGAACTATTCTCAATAAGTTAAGTATTTTGATGCCTCCTGGGATGGATATCTATCTAGAATCCTTATTCCTGAAACTAGTTAAAGGTAATCATGAAAGAATCAATATGAGATAATGGCTGAAGATATTGAATTGGGAGCAGGGAGTCACAGGTGAACTCCTATTTAATTATGGAGATGATTGGATGATTCTGAGTAGTCACAATCTCACAGCCTAATTTACCTCAGATGGCTGTAGTATAGTAGTACAGCATGGATAAAATGCTGCTGCTGCTATATCCATTAGGCAGACCACACTCAGAAATAAACTGTGCAGAAAGTTAAAATTACTTTTATTGAGATTGGCTATAATAACATAAACTTGAAAATGTGATTATTTTGTACCATCTTCTATGAATTCTAATTCAGTGAATTAGGGAGTCGTCTCTGAGCCACTTCTGAATCTTAACTGGCTGTATATATGTACTTAAAGTATGTTTTGCCTCTTGTTGCCTTGGCAACAATCCTTGCATATCTCTGTTAAGATTATCTTCCTTATTTTTAACACCAAAGATGGAAACAGAGAACAGAGTGAAAATTTGGGAGATGAGCGAGAGAAATTATATCCAACGATTCTATGTTTGAGAGAAAAATAAATCACATATGAAGATCTGACATCAAAACTGAAGTTGGGCCCAGGGATTTTTTTTGGGGGGGGGGCAGGAGAAAAGTAATAAGGAAACAGGAACTAAAATAAGATCATCACCATGGATTAGAGATACCAGAATGTACTGCAAAGGCTAAGGAACAGTAGGATAAGGATGATTTGGAGAAGTATGTGGGGAGGAGGGGTAAAAGATATACAAAATGATGGTTGCTATTAAAAAAACCACAATGGACATCTCAGTGTAATGTTATGTGAGAATGATCTTGAGAGACAGGGCATAAAGTCACAGCCAAGGGAAATGTCAGATAAAAGACACCTTAGCCTAAAGCAGGAATGTGTGTGGCGCAACAGGCTCAGAAGAGACCCTCCCCTAGTATTTTGGGATACGAAGGTAGTGGGGGAAAACTCTTCTGGCCATGTTTCCTGTCTGGTCTACCTCACAAGGCTGATACTTAACTTTCTCACTCCCTGCTCCCTTCCTCCCTCTCCCTATGCAAATACCCATCTGGAATTAGTGAAATTCATAAAAGAAGAGCAGTTGCAACAAATTGGGTTGAAGGAGGTGAAATCTACAAACAAACTGGCAGTGTTGACGCAAGGGAGAGGCTAAGCATATGGTGGCAATACTATCCTGAAATCTGCTATCTAATTTTCCAAAAGTTTTCTTTTCCTGTGATTCAGCTTTTCTGACTCTTGTGAATTCCTTTTTTTGTGCAATGGTTCTGATATTGTTAAATTTAAATATCTACATCTCTCATTCCCTAGTGTTTCTTTGCAAGCCCATTCTTCTGGATCTGAGTAGAGGAATTCCTGCATCATTTCTTCCCTAGGAATTTAATTGAAATGTAAAAAGTAAGCAGATTCGGATTATTAGAGAAATGAAAATTCAATAATTTTGTCAAAAGTACAAAACAGAATAGAGAAAAAATAAACAAAATATATTAATACAATTCAACCAATTAAAGCCAGCCTATATATCCTTTAAGGGAGATGGGCAAGAAACATGATGGACGGACGGACAGACAGATAAGCAGGCAGGCAGGCAGATACTTGTAAATAAAAGTAAGCAATATAAGCTAAGAAACCCATGTGAAATACAAAAACCTTTGGGGTAAAAGACAAAAAAAGGAAAGGAAAGGAAACAATGAACATTTGTCTAGTTACTGACAATACTTAAATAACAGCAATAATCCTTATACAAATCACAATAGCTCAATTTTTAAATTGAATTTTGACCACAAGAATTATATTGTGCATTTTTTCTTTTATGTTGATAACTAACGAGTTCTAAGTTGACAGAAAATTTCATTAAGTGAAGCCTTAAGGAAGAAATATATTTTTAATAAACTTGAAATTGTTGATTTTATAATATAAGTGCTCCAATTCTCAATTCCAAATTTCTTTTTCTTTTTGGTAAATCATACTCTTTTTATATAATCAGCTGGTTAAGAGTGTTTTCCATTTTCTATTCATCAATTACAAGGCGGGAAGGTCCCACCATTTCTAAAATAAGTTATTTCAAAACATCAACATCACATGAGAGGCTGCAGGTGAGATGCTTACTGAAATGAAAGATTAAATTTAGGTATGAAAGATTAAATTTAGCTATCAGCATCCTGCATTATTTCCTTGAGCATTTCACACTTTTTTTCACAACATGAAAATAATTTTCTCCATAAAATGGAAGAGTTGTAAAAAAGAATGACTAACATTTCACTAAGAGAAGGAATGAACAAAAGGCATAGAAGATGACTATATTCTGGATGAAAGAGTAGCATTTCTATTAGAAAGAAGAGAAAGAATGGCAAAAAGTACAAGAATAGTATCTGCCATGATGGTATCAAACTTTTCCACACAAATGTTTCCCATTACAACTTGACAGTTCCATCATCAAATGAACATTTGAATTTGAAAATTACTATCAATGATTCCTAACTTTTTAACCTAGGTTTTGTTCAGTGAAATTTAATCTTCATTTGTCCCAAAATAAAATTCCTTACCTTCCTTCTGCAGGTTACTTCTCTGCTTTCTGAGTAACTTGGATTGCTTGCCTCTTCAGATAGCCTTTGGGAGAAAGAAAACCTTTGAAAAAGGCTTCAGAAAAGTGAACAAGGATAATATATATGTCTGCACAGACAATCTCCCTCTGCAGAAAAAGAACAACAGTTAGTAGGTTCCTCCCACCCCTATATTCCCACGTCCATCTGTTGACCTGCTATAAAAAACACCACAAGTTTTGTAAGCAGAAGGACTTTTCTGGGTAGAAAGAGGGCTTAAAAATGTACAGTCTTTGAAACCTGGCTTGTTATTTTAAGCTGGTGTTTGAAAAGGGTGAAGAAATAAGAACCACTGCCTACTTTGCCCATGATCAGCATGACAATGGGGTTCTGTGGAGGATAAGAATGAAGTGAGAGATTAGAAAGTTGTAGATTTAAGGAAACATAAAATTATTCAAAGCCATCTAATATAAAAACTATGCTGTAGAAAAGGAAAATTATTTGAAGATATCCAGATCTTTTAAAGGTAAAGGTAAAAGTTTTCTCTCTTCAGTTGTGTCTGACTCGAGGGCAGGGGTCCCCAATCCCTGGTCTGTGGCATGCCAGCAACTAGGCCACACAAACAAGCAAAGCCCCATCTGCGAGATGCAGGCATCATATAAAACCATGCACCCTCCGGTCCGCGAAAAACCTCTCCTCACGGAACCAGTCCCTGGTGCCCAAAAGGTTGGGGATCTCTCCTCTAGGGGGTGGTGTTTTTTAAGGCTCTCCAGATAGCTAATTTTATCAGAGAAAATAGCCTTTTTTCAAAACACCTGATGGGGAAGACTTAATCAGATATGATGCAGGCTGCATTACAGAGATGGTGTTCAAACTTAGGTTTAAGAAAGGACTCAAAAGCAAATTTTGCAGATACTACTTATCTGTTGACAATGCTATTTATAAATTGGAAGCCTAAGGTATTAAAAAAAAACCTAAGAAGAGGTTGGTATAGAAACAGAATTCTAAATTCATAAAGGTAATCTTTACTTTTTCTTAAGAAATTATAAATGCAGCTCTGTATTAGACCTGTAGTAATCCCACTAAAAGCCTGTGGCTATATACAGCTCCCTGAATCCTAGCTATTCTGCAATAATTTTCAAGACACAGCCAAACTCTTTAGAGTCCTCTCTGTCTTGGAGTTTATCTATGTCTCCTAAATACACTATATAATCAGGTAAACTGCTAATCTTGCCTGTAGAAAAAAACTGACATGATCAGACAGGGCAAGTCCATTTTGGATTGAACTTGGTCTTTCTGGAGTTTCCCAAGGTCCAAAATGGATCTGAGAGAGCTGACCCTGTGTATACTAGTTAGTGCATTGGCATTAACCAAGGGCACAGAAACAATCCAAATCTAAAAAAAGAAAGATAAGAAAAAATATGAGAGACAAGGCAAAAGTAAAATGACCTGACCTTGTGTCATGAATGTGTGACTTTTCGGAGAGTTTATTTATGAATGGATGTGAAGGGAATAGTTGTACGGATATGTTTCTGAATGAATTTATTCACTAATATAGTTTGTTCTGATTTAGCATGAATACGAACTCATTAAGTTTTAGAGTATGGCATTGCAAAGCATGAGAAGTGCATGCCTTTTGCAAAGTGGTCCTCCTTAAATTTACATTCTTCAAAAGGCCTATGTTTTTTTCAAGGGCCTTCACAGGTTTGCACATGTAGGCATAACTACTGCAGTCCTAGTGGTAATCTTGTGTGTCATGGAAAAACATACATGACAAACATGTGAAAGCCTGTTAATCAGCCAAGCCTTCTGTTTGTTAAGATGGCCTCAATACTTCGATAAGGATGTTCTGATCATGGCAGCGTACTTTGCAAGACATTTCTCTGTATGCTTCATTCAGCTCTAGTAATGTCTGCAATGCAGACCACTGTAGCTTGCTCAGCAAAAGATGCATTTAAAAAATCTTGGCTTAGAAGTTTGTATGAACAAAACTCATATGCATATATGGCGTTGGTTATGCCCACATTTTATTTCAGGCATAATTTAGTTGGGATTTTGGTCTTAGCCACAGTGGCATAATGTTTGTAGGAAAATTGAACATGGGGGAAATGTAGCTTTTGGCTTAGGGGAATGGGAAGGAAGGGAAGAGATGAAGGAAATTGAAATTTTCCTTCAATTTCATCCCTTTGAAATTCAGTCTTTCCCCCACTTATTGATAAGAATGGGCACATAATTCTGGTATTCTGGTAATACATTTAACGCTAAACACTGGCATTAGGCTACCCTGGGAATTCAAATGTGATTTTCCCATTAGCTGTGCCATACCTTACCGATCAGTTAAGGAAGAAATTAGTCCCTTTCCTTGTATTTATGGGAGGAAACGCCTCTCGTTACAAATCTCTTATGGGCTTGAATCGCTGAGCGCAGATACATTCAATGAGGGGGACGCTTCCTTTATCTCTGCAGGCGTTCTTACCTTGAATTTCTGTCTGCCGCGTACCTGGGCAATGGAAAGCACATGACTACTATCTGCCGTAGAAAGACAGACGAAGAATTCCGCGGAAATACCTCTAGTTTCAGATAGAAAAGCAGGCGGTTACCTGAGTTCCTGGAGAAGATCACGTTCTAACTTGCGTTTTGATCTCTCGACAGCAAAAGCAGGTCGACAATAGATAGCGCGAATAAGCGGGCAAAAAACGAGACGCAGTCCTTTCCTCGGACTCTGGGGGTCGCTACAACCCTTCCTTGCGCTCTCTTCTCCTTCCCCGGCAGCCCCCAGAGGAGCCTGAAGCTCAGCTTGGCGGCGAGGAGCGCACAGGCAGCCTGCTGCCGCGCCGTGCGGCGCCTCCTCCAAAAGCTGCGCGCGTGTGCCGAGCGGCGGAGTGGCAGAGCCGGGCAGCCCCGCCAGAGGGACGAAGCGAGGCGATGCCAGCCGTTTCCTGGCGCCAGAGCCGAAAGGGCCTGGGCACGTGCTTGCGCTGCTGAGTCTCAGCCACGGCGGACGAATCCGGACCGACCGCCCAGCACGCAGCGTGCTGGGGAGAAGAAAATGGGGAGCGGCGTGTCCCGCCTCAAGGACGCGCCGGCGGAGCGGCTGTGAAGGCGCGCCAAAGGTAAAGGGCTGGAGGCGCGGTGGGGCTGGAGTCGGGGGGCAGGGAAACGCCGCGAGAGGCAAAGGCAGCGACTCGGAGCTAGTAAAGTTTGCCCTTGGTCCCCCGGCGAGCGTTGAGGCTCCTCGCGGACCTTCAGCCGCTCCCCTGGACTTGGGAATTGAAGCCGGCTTGCCCAGCCTGCCCTCTCAGGAGGGACTTCGGGATCCGGCTTTCAGAAAGCCTGGCGGAGCGTCCGGGTTACTTTCTCGCTTTTGGATTTGAAGATGCGGTCGCCGGAGCCAGAGCGAACTAGTTGGCCACTTCGGGATTCGGCGTCGGCGTCGGTTTTACAAGCCGAGCATTTCTCCGTTTGCTAAAGGGGACGGCAAGCTTCCCTGGATCCTGACGCTCCCGTTAGATTTCGGCAGGGCAGGGGCCAGGTCTGCGTGGGAGTGACAGGCAAACTCCATTTTGGCTGCGACAACGGGAATTCGTTGGGGTCCGAGGACGTGGTAGTGGGGAGCTCGATAAAAATGGCGGAGGTGCAAAGTCAAAACAAACTCTCCTGTCAAACTAAATCTCACCAGACACCTGACCCCCCCAGTCCCCCCCCCAACCCACAATCAACCACATAGTGATAGGGTTAGGGTGGTCTTTTTTCTCAGCTCTGATTTTCTCCCCGGAGATAAAAGCAAGGATGCAAAGAATCAGAGGGCAGAGAGACAGGTAAATTTAATAGGAGACCGGGAAGCAGGATGGTCTTTGCAGCCTTCTGGTCCTCTTGGTTTCTTAGGAAAGGCAGAGCAAAACATTCCTCTTTAGATTTGAGTGGCTGGCAGTCAGTTCCCTTGAAGTCTAGCGAGGCTGTGAGGTGTGGCTGCCATCAGCCTTCGAATATTTGCAGGCTTGCAGGGATTCTTCCTAAAGGGGTGGAGTAGGACAGACAAAAAAGCCTTCCCAGTTGATGGATGCCAGAACTGATACTACTTCAGTCATATCCATGACTTCTAGAGTCATCCAACCATTGTTGTGACACAATAGCAATGAGGAACAGGCTTTATACCAGTGATGGCTGGAGGATGCTGTGAAGCTGTTAGGGGAGAAATGGCCTTAGAAATGTCATCCAGCCTGCACTGTACTGAAGTATTGTAATAAAGACAAGCTTTGCATCATTAGTTTGATAGCTGAGTGATACCATAAAATGGATTAAGGATGGATATCTCCTGAAAATATAATACTGTGTGTTGGCGACCAACGGAAGAAATATTTGTTCTTCGGACTCTTGACATAATGAGTGTTTATATATGCTTTGAATTGCTCTTGCAGTGGAATCTTGTTACATCAGAGGCATTGTAGCAGATACTATGCAGACAACTGTTTTTTGAATGGTGGCTGCAGCATAGTGGCATGAAGTGTTCCCCTTGGTATTGTATTGATAGCTGTTTCTTCTCAGGGTGAAGGTATATCTAGTACACTTCTGCTAGTTAAGATGTGGAGATCTAGCTTCTTGTTGGATAAGTCACTGTTTCATTGGATCTGAAGTAAAACATGTGACTTGTAAATTATATATCATACTTCATTTTTACATAATTCCATAATTTAATGCTCTGGAAATAGTTGATCCAACAACATTATGGACCATTAACAATTTCTATGAGAGACCCTTCAGAAACAATTCTAAACTTTTCAAAGGATGTAAGTAACACTACATTCACGAAGACACTGATTGATGCATAAACGGGATCCAAGTTCAAATCTGTGTTCTAATATCATGATTGTTTACATTTGTTAGAGTTTAAAAAGTGGCAAGATTCTTTGTCACATACCCTATAGCTTTCAGTGGAAGGTTCACTACTGGACATATTTCCATTGGCTTGTCTGATGAAAGCAGTGTAGTGTGCTTATATTATTAGTGGAATGTGCATTTGGGATGAACCAATTTTATTGCAAGGATTGATGTACCCCAATCATGCATGTCTAAAGTGTGAAATCTTTCAAAGCTATTTTTTTTTGCATTTCCTTTTACTGCAGTATTCCTTTTAGATGTTCTTGCAGTAAAAACAAAACAAAATATAGTTGGCAGATGAGCCTGTGCTGACCACCGACTCCATGAGAATGCTGGCAATACAATTATTACCTTGCAGAATTTTCTTCTATTCTTGAAACAGCAGGGCTGTTCCCATTCTTTCTCTATCTAATTGGGTCAATGTCTGAGAGAATACTTGAGCTAGCAAATCGAATCATATAAGACATACAAATTGGCATCATTCAGGATTAACAGCTAGATTGGTAAAGTAAGCACAGAATAATATTGGAGTCTTGGGCTGAAAGGATAATAGACAATGTACAAAGGATTATTGTTTGTGATTTCAAATTTTGTATCAATCTTTCTAATTTACAGGGTAAATAGCATGTAATATGCTGGATATTTTTACCATTTTTTTTTCTTTTTAGCAAATGGAGTACATCATGGAATGTTCAGCACTTTTTGTTAGAGAAAGTCTGAAACTCGGGAATCTGCTTTAATTTGTATAAGCCTTTGCCAAAAATGGATGCATTATTAGATCAGATGAATGCAACTTCATGGCCAGGTTTCAAAGGAAATATTTTAGTGCTGGCTAATGTGATATAAAACTATTAAGCTCCTTGCTGTTTAATCAAGGTACCCCTTGGAAGTATAAAGTAAAAGTGAACGATGATAATTTCTTATTATCATCACTAATTGCTTTATAATTTCCAGATCTAATGATTAACATTTTTAGGTTGACTTTTAGGGGGCATTGTGAAGAATAGGAAGCTGAATGATTTTTGTATTACACAATGGAAATCTGAAATTGAGAAATGGCTTGTTATTTTAGTACTAATGCTGAAGGACTTGTTTCTTTCTTCCCACTACCTCTATTTTCCCCACACAAATAAGTTCCTTAATACAGGAGATGATCTTCCTTCCTTCCTTCCTTCCTTCCTTCCTTCCTTCCTTCCTTCCTTCCTTCCTTCCTTCCTTCCTTCCTTCCTCCCTCCCTCCCTCCCTCCCTCCCTCCCTCCGTTCCTCCCTCCCTCCCTCCCTCCGTTCCTCCCTCGGACCACATGATTTAACAACTAGATTCCAATAAAGAATAGTTGTTTAGAGTTAAGCTGTGCTCTTAGGGTTAGAGAATAAAGCACTCCTGAATTCACATTAAGCCGAGGAATTTCTTTTCACTACCATAATTGAGCCTGCTGCTCTTTTTAACCTACAGAGCTACTTATGGTTTTCCTTCAAGCATTCTTTGATTCAATGGCCTAACTTGGGATGGGAAGAGTCTATTTTATTTTTAAACATGCCTTATTAAATGACATCAAATTTATGTAACAGTTATGTGATGTAATATTTAAAGTTTTTTTTTAAATTAAAAATTAAAATCTGGAAATTTTGTATCATGAATGAAATAATCCAGAAAGTTTTTCAGATTAATCAGAACTGTTCTTTTTTGCCCCTTTCTTAACAGAAGGCTAATTCAGATGTTGACAAAGCTGCCTCTTCCATCTTCTTAGCAACTGAGTATCTGATGCACGTTTCAGTAGATGGCAGAACCTAGCTGAACTTGTCTGGGCTCTGGTTAGCATTTGAAAGAAAGTGAAAATGGCCAATTCAGGTGGCCTGTATGATTTGAATAGATATGAGGCATAGATTATTGATAGGACCTGTACAAGGATCTAGGTATGCCCCTGTACAGGCATCTCAGTGGGATTTCCTTGCATGGGAAAACTTTCTGTCATATGGTGTGTCAATTTATATGAAAAGACTGTTTCTTGGTTCCGTGTTGAACATCAACTTTCTCACAGTATGAACTTTTACCAACTAAGATGTTTTTGTTGAGGAGTCTCAGCTAGTCATTCAGACATGGCCTCAGTCCTGGTATTCTATTCCATTTCTTCACCGTGAACTTGATTTTGCCCTCTAACATTCAGCATTCTATGGTTGCTGATCTTTCTTGGTCCAGGCTAGGCTGATTTCATTCTGTCTTGTTAATAGGGTTTTGTCATCATGTTTTTGAATTGCATAAGAAGTTGATTTTATTTATTGCAGTTTATATGCTGTTCAGTTGCCAAAATACTCCACATGCAGCCTATAAATAGCACAAAATAGAGTGAAAACAATAAACGTTATAACACAAACCAGATTACCAATAATTATAATGACAAAGAAAAGTAATTATTTGCTATTACAAAATCCAGTGAGAAGAGGATATCTGAAAAGAATTGGAAGTTCTGGAAAGAACAACATCCATAATCAGAAATAACAGAATAAAGACTAGCAGATCAGTATTGATTTATAATATAAAATGAAGTATTCACAGATAGAATTGGAAGAACTACAAAGATCTACCTACAGCAGAGAAATTGAAACTTTGCTAGAAATAGTTCAGACAGTAGAAGTAAACCAGGGGGAATCAATAGCAGAGGAAGCCAGCATTACTATTCAACAAACCAGAAAGCATAAAGTCCTCTAGCTGGACAGCAAGAAGAATTGAAACAAATAATAACTGATCATCTCTAGAATACCACAAAAAAACCCAACAGAATAAAATTGTCGCATTGAAACATGTTATACCTCCTCCAAAAACAGCTAACACAAGTATTAAAAGATGCCAATACTATGATATTAAATATAAGCACCAGCTCAATGGTAGCAATAATGATAGTGCAGTGGAGTTTGGACTGGACAAATGTGCCATCTTTAACATCAACGGGAAAAATAATGAAAACTGAAGGAATCAAGATGCCCTATGGCAATAACATCAAGAGTCTAGATGAAGATCATTATAAACACCTGGGCATCCTTCAGATTGACAACATCAAGCTGAAGTCAAGAAGAAGTTTAGCAATGAATACAAAAGAAGAGCGAAGAAGCTCTTAAAGTCTAAATTCAGTGGAGAAAATAGTATCAATAACTGGGAAATTCCAGGTATTAGATATATAACTGGAATAGTGGACTATACTTAAGCAAAACTGAAAGCCCTGCATAGCAAGGCCACAAAAATAACGGCAATGAATCATGGCCTTTCTTCCATGTGGTGATATTGACAGTCTGTTTACCAAGGAGCATAGGTTGGCCTAGAATGTTGTAAGTACATCAGGCAATTAAAGAAGAAGAAAAGACATTAAAAATATCTGAAGGACAATGAAGACGATGCACTAAAGCTAGTATACCATGAAAGCTTACTAAATACCAAAGAGATCAAACTGGCCTATAAGAAAGACCAAATAAAGAATAGAAAAGGCACATAGAAAGGCAAAGTATTACATAGGCAGGACATAAAAAACTAACAGGCAAAGTAGATAACAAGACCTGGCAATGGCTAATAGAAGGAAAGTTGAAGAAAGGGACAAGAGGAGCAAATTCTGGCTGCACAAACTAAGCAATAACTACAAATGCATATAAAACCAGTATTTAGAAGACAGCAACAAACAACAAATGATGTCTTTGCAAAGAAGCTGACCATTTAGTTAGCTGTGGCAAGAAGATTGCACAGACTGGTTACAAACAACTTCATGGCAAAAATGGTGCACTGGAATATATGCAAGAAACACCATTTCCCTGCAAGCAAGAACTGGTGGGCTTACAAAGTAGACAAAGTAATAGGAAATGAAGAAGTTAAAGTGTTCTAGAATTTTAGAATTAAAAGAGACAATAACAGCTTGAATTATGCCCAGAAATTAATTGACATCAAGTGAGGCTCTTGCAATAGTGTTTATATTTGGGCAAATTGAGAGGCACTCTTAAAGGCTTGGTCCACTACATATTCTACCAGATGTGACTTCTGAGTAGTTATGAAGGGCAGACCAAAATACAATGCATTGTTCTAGTCTAGAGAGATGGCCAAGGCACAAATGATGATATATAATTTAGGATAATAGAAAGGTCTTCATTAGCATTTTGTATTGCCCATTAAGCAGAGTTGTTTAAGACCTGGCAGTAAGTAGAAGTTTATTTTTTACAAATGCTTCTGGGTGGAAGCAGGAGTGGAAATAAAATTTATTTTAGACCATGATTTTTTTTCAAAAACAAAATCTTCTGCAGTTATTATTTTATTAACTCCTTGTGATTCACTTCTACTAAATTCTTGCAGCAAATCTGGTTGTTGCAGTTCAAAGCCATGACTCTTGAAAAAAGAATGTTGTGAAAAATAGAATAGAATAGAGCTGGAAGGGACCTTGGAGGTCTTCTAGTCCAGCCCCCTGCTCAAGCAGGAGAATATATACATCTCAGACAGGTGAATGTCTAGTCTCTTCTTAAAAATCTCTAGTGATGGAGCACCCACAATTTCTGGGGGTAAACTGTTCTACTGGTTGATTGTCATCACTGTCAGGAAGTTTCTCCTTAATTCCAGGTGGCTTATCTTTTTGATCAGTTTCCAACCATTGTTTCTCGTTCTTCCCTCTGGTGCTTTGGTGAACAACCTTGCCCCCTCTGCCTTGTGGCAGCCCCTCAAATACTGGAATACTGCTATCATGTCTCCCCTATTTCTTCTTTTCTTTAGACTAGCCAAACCCAAGTCCCGTAGCTGTTCTTCTTATGTTTTAGTCTCCAGGCCTTTGATCATCTTAGTTGCTCTTCTTTCAATTTTTTCCAAACTCTCAACATCTTTTTTGTGATATGGTGACCAAAATTGGTTGCAGTATTCCAGGTGTGGTCTTACTAGGGTTTTATAAAATGATACTAATATTTCGCGTGATCTTGATTCTATGCTTCTGTTTATACAACCCAGGATTGTATTAGTTTTTTTATT